GGACTCACCTTGCTGAGGGTACCTTGCTACTGCATCTAAAACCTCCTTGGTATTCCAGTGTGCGCAGTGTGGACATACGTAAAGAGACAGATGATTACACATAATGCAACTTGGTTCATTTTATTGACTGCTGAGGATGTTTTCCAGGCTCTCAGTCTCAAGTTGTCTATCTGTAGGTGAGAGATAACAGCACACACTTTGCAGAGATGTTTCAGGATGGAATTAATATGCATAGAGAGCTCTGAAGATTAAAAGAAAAAAAAGTTAATCTGCATTTTGCTTAGATAACAAGAACCTTTGAAAGCAGTGGCGTCTTTATAGAGACATTCCCATTTTCAGTAATGTAGGAGCTCATTAGGATTGCTGGTAATTTGTATGCAGTGAATTTACCTAAGTTGCAGTTTTACATTTTGCACGGTGGCAGTTGAGTCACAAGTTGGTTACAAAAGGAGCCACCAGTCACTTCCTCAAAAATACTGGATAGCTGGATAGTCCATGCTGTGCTCACAGTGCTGTAACTGCCTCTGCAGTGGAGATGCCCAGCATCCCCATGGAGCCCTTTTTGGTCCAACTCAGGCACCTCTCTGCATCATATTACAAAAGGAGGAGGTGGATGCCAGGTCCAACATTCACTCCAGCTTCCAAACCAACCTGGCATCAGATACTGTGCAAGTCATGGGGCAGAACTCATCTGGTTTCTAAAGCAGCCCTCTGTCCTAGTTCCCAAAGGGAGAATCCATGTCGCCAAGGAGGAAGGGCTGTCACGTCAGCTTGGACAAGCGGAGCACTGACAAGTTGTGCCCATTTTTCTCCCACTGTCTCTTTCCCCCATTTGGGGGGATGCAGAGCACATCTCCTGCACTCACAAATTAAACCCCAAGGGAGCTCTGCACTCATGAATCTTTCCATATTGCACTCCTAATCTGATTACACAGCCCCAGTCTTCCTATCCTAACCGATACGGTGGCCTTACACAGCAAAAGCCTGTGAATTCACAACCCTGTGAATTCATTTAACTGGACACAACTGTCTGCCTCCTCCTCCTCAAAGTTTCCTACAAAGCATTTGTAGGAGATCAAGGGGCTTCTTTTCTCCTCTTATGGAGGAGAAAAAATCACAATTCACAAATAACAATTTCTCCACAGTGCATTGCTATAACAGTAACTTTAAAGTTATTTTTGTGTCTTGCTGCCAGCCATGAAACCTTATGCCTGGAGCTAAGTGCCTCCAAGATGATAAAAGGGAATTTATAAATAGCAATGAGTGAAGTTCATGTTTTCTAATTTACTGCTGTAGTCAAAAAGGAATCACTCTTACAAAGGTCATTTTTTTGTTACTGGGCTATTATGTTTCTGCTGAGTTGTCATCTACAGTACTGAGCTGTACTTTTGTGCGAAGTTAGTACTTTCTCTTTTCATTCAGGCAATCACTCAAACCGTCCACTGAGCGGAAGGCTGCTTTATTTGTGCCATTACCATGCACAAAGAGATAAGATCTGCTCTTATTCCAGTATATTCATATCCCCCTCTTCCTATCCCCCCACCAAAATTCATGTAATTATTATTATCTATTTTAGTTTATTTTCTCTCTTTTTCTTGTTGTTCCATATATAAAATCTTATTTATGTTTCTCAGTCACAGTCTGTTAAAAAATGTCAATGTAGAGTGTTTTAATAAGGTCCTTTTTATAATTAGGGCTTCTGCCCTTGCCAATACTCTCATGAAACCTGGGTTCCAACATTGACCAAAATTCAGCAGCATCTCTGCATGCTCGAGGTGCTAACAGTACGGTTTTGTATTTAGACAATCAAAATAAGGCTACCTTAATTTTCCTTTTGATTGCTACCTCTGGGAGCATCTGGGAGTGCTCTGCACCTGTCTACATTTAGCTGTGGGCTTTATCAAGGGAGGTACCCAAAAACGAATGCATGTAATGTAATGGTGGCCATCTGAAACTTTGAGCTCCAGGATCTTTCTGGCATATTTTTGTAGGAAGAACAAGAGTTTCCTTTGTCAGAAAATAACCCCTATTGCAGGACAAGGGGTAATGGTGCTTCTCAGAGGAGACATTACGCTGACACTGGGTACATTTTTTTTTGTTTTAGCCCAGGTGACTTCAGTGACCTTACTTGTAACGTTGCCTCTCAGAGAGCTGCGCAGGACAGGCTAATGGGATGACACAGAGAAAGTGGCAGGAGCAATAAGGGTAAGAAGTCTCTTGGGCCAGCTTTGCCATGAGCCTGTTCATGCAAGCAGTAACTCTCCCTGAAGCAGCTGTCAGGACAAACGTGGTGAGGAAGAAAAGCCTGCTTGCCCCTCAGCCTCAGAAATGCTTTTAATTAAAAATGTAAAGGGAAGAAAACAGAGTGCAAGAAAATGCTAACTCAAGCAGTTCCACTTTTGCAGAAAAAGAAAATAGAAGACCATGTAAAGCTTTTCCCATCGCTGTTTCCTGTGATGAAAACACGGTGGGCTGAGACAGCTCTCCATGCTTGACAAGAAAAAGGAAGAAAATAGAGAAATGGGAAGACAAGAAACAGTTTGTGGACTGCGTTTCCACGTTTAGGTACAAATCCTGCTACTATCCAAAACCCTTGCTCACCAGCTAGTCCAAGCCAAAGACAACCCTACTGCCTCCAGTATTCCCTACCAGGTCTCACAGGCACGGGAGGCACTGCCCTGGTCTAGGCAATTCCCGCTCCCCGCGCACGTCTCCCGCAGCCATCCGCAGGGTCCGGGTCCACACACCTGCGGGACGGGCAGGCCCCTGCTGTCACTTGGGCCAGGGAGCAGATGCTTCCTGCTCTGAGGAGCAGGTAGGGCACGCTGCACTGTACGGAGCGTTCTCCTAACTCCTTAATAACTCCTAACCCAGCTGTTCATCAAAGCTGGCTCTTCCCTTGCTTCCACATCCCCCGAGGCTGCAGATGTGCATCTTCCGCAGCAGTCTTGCACAGAGACCGTCCTTAGACACTGGAGCATTTCAGAGATTACTCAAATCTGCTGGAAATGGTATGTGGGAACCAGCCTGTATTTTATTATGCACTTCAACCTGAGAAAAGAGAGGAAGCATCTTCCTTTTTCTTAGGGAAATCAGAATTTCCTAAATTGGATTGTCTTTCTCATTTTCTTTCCTTTAATTCTGATAGCTTCTAAACTTGCTATTATGCGTCTTTAAACAAATAAACAGATGTAAATGCATAGGCCAAGTCAATACAATGCAAACTGACTGCAGTAGAACCAGAACTAGAAGTAGACCAGAGAGCCCAGAATTAAATGAACAAAAATGGCCAGTTTATTCACTGGAACAGTTATGCATTACACTGTAATTTTAATTTGAACATAAAGATGTAAGAATCAGTATATTGGCTTCTTTTAATTATTTTCTTCAGCACTAGAGTGTTTTTCCCAACCATTTGACTGCATGATCATATTACACATTTACAAGCACAGACTTTATGAATCCCTCACAAGGCATTAACCTAGGATTGCCTACAAGGACAAGGAAGAATTAACATGGGAATTACTTCAATTTCAAAAACAAATGATGCATTTTTTGGAAACAAGAGTTATTTAACTTTTTTTTTTTTTGCTTCTAGCATAAAGCAGCAACAAGAAGAGTTTCCAATATTCACTCTTTAGCAAATGAACACATATACTTTCATATTCCTCACCACCTAGAAACACTCCATCATTTAACCCCAAGAAGGCAGAACAACATAATGTCAATTCAACATAGGAGTAGCTGAGTTCTTACAGCAGTAAACATACAGGATACAAATTAGTGTTCTTCCACAAACACCACCAATGTGAAAACTCCTCTGAAAGGAACACAGCAATCTGTATGGTTCATTAGGTACAGAACATCATGCAAATGGAAACATTCAATAGATTACAAAAGTCACAAAACATCAGTTTCTGTTGTTTTAAATTGTTTACAAAGGATCAAGTTAATTAACCCTTTAACAGTCAAACCACAGGGCTTGTCAAAAGGGCAATAACTAATAAAATGGACTTAATTTATCCACTGGCATGGCACACAAATGGCCATACCTGTGAATAGGAAAATGAAAGGCTGGATTATTCTTATTTCTTCTTCATAGCTGATGAAATAACAACTCAGCTAGCAAACCCGTCTACTGGAAACTTGTTTCAACCTCTGGTATTCATTATTTTCCAAAATGCCCTTGAAATCAAAACAACTGTAGCTTTTATATATATATATATAAAAAAAATCTATTTAATTCAGTTTACTAATGCTGAGCAAAAAAACATACACTCTTCTCCACTGTTCCAGCTACAGCTAATAATGATGAGCAAAACCAACACAGACCTTCATAAAAAGACACTTTTTGAAACACAAGGCCCTATCACCCAGAGTCTTCCTGCACATTAACTCCAGTCATGGAACAAAGGATTTTTCCCTAACCCCTTGTCAGTCTGTCACTTGGGTGATGTTAGATTGGTTAGAGGGGATTTTCAAGAACTCCACAGGAAACAGATTAAAATCCAACATGGATTTAAGCCCTGCATCTCAGAATGAAAGATACAGACTCTGTGTGATAGTCTTCTTGCCTTTCTAACATGAGGAATATGCATATCACACAATAAATAAGAATTTTCTAGCTTAATCATGGATATGGAAAAGCTACATGATGTTAAGAATCTCATGCACGCATTTTACATTGCATATTTAGATGCATTCGTGCCTTAAGGCGAAAGGCAACTGCTTTTTTGTTTGTCTCCCACGGGTACTTAACTCTATTAAAAAACAAAAAAAAAACTCCCAATGGTTAAAAAAAGTCTGAATTTTGTATATCCCTTTCAGATGCACTGTGTACACAAGGAAAAGGAACCGATCACTGTAATTGTTTAAGAGGTAACTACAGCAGTGATCGTGCTTCAAACGGAAAACATCAGTCCCTGCTATTTTCAAACAAAGACTTGTGAAGCACTGGAACAAGTTCACTACAGCCGCTGTGGACGTGCATTTTCCATGTAGGAAAGAAACAGATCTCCAAGGGGCTGATCTCCATCTCGGGACCACCTCCACACTGCTATACTGGAAGGGGCAGCACAGCCCCTGCTGATTTGTGTGTGATGGTTGGCATCATACAGCCCCCACGCTTGGGGGTCAGCCCCTGTGGGTCCTCCTTTCCTGACAATTGTATGTAAGCATTTCCAACATGATTACCACAAGCAGCCTTCATACATGAGGTCCGGATTGTATTTCATAATACCATCTCCTTTTTGTTTACACTTAAATATGGCAAATGGCTAAAATGATTTCAGATCCTTTTTCATCAAAAAGAAACTGAAAGTCACCTTGCACATTAAAACTTGAAGAGTTACCTTAATGACAGCTTCATTCTATGACGTCTGCGGTATAGCTATTACGGCATTAATTTACTGGGAAAAATCTGGATGGGGCAAGCGCAGAGATGCCATCAGATCAAACAGAAATAATCAAACTATTGCCTCCATCTAGAAGGCAGAAACCTCTGTATGGTTAGCATGGGAAATGACAATATTTCCTCTTTCTGGAAAGCTTCCATTTACTTTCCAATTGATAAAAAATATATTTTCCATACTATGACATTTTAAAATTTCTTGTTCATCCTCTTCTCCCCTTATACTTCAATCTATCCGCTTGTTATCTCACACATTTCCTATAAACTTGATTTCCCCAAGGGGATCATTTAAATGAACACGGAATACTCATTCTCCCCTGTGTGAGAAAATAAAGCCCAAAACAGAATGCTCCAGATCAGAACAGCCTAATCCAAACCCAAAGACATTTCTAGGCCCTGTTAGAGAACAAAAGCTGCATTTCAGACATGAAAGCCAGAGCGGGATATGAAAATCACTTTTGCTGTGTAGGACACACTTTAGCATTCTTAAATAAATCTGACCCTTAGAAAATAGATGCATCTTTTTATTTATTTTTTAAGCGTTAAAAATCAAAACAGTTATCAACATATTGGAAATTATTACTAAACGGGTGAAATACAGTATTTGCAAGCCTTAAAAAAACATGCTCTTGTTCATTTTTCTCTGTATGTGAATGTGAATACTTCCTATGAAATCTCTCACAGAGTTGTAACTTACCAGTCATAAAACAATAAAGAAGAGTTTATCATCTCAAGTTCAAGATATATATTTTATTTTGTACCGATTAACTGACAAAAGCTGTCCTGGGGACCTACACAGTTTTATAACTTACAATGCAATAATGATAGTCATCTGTACATTGAAGCTGCTTAGTTATCTTAATTTTCCAACACTTATGTCTTATTATATTAAAAATATAAATTGAAAAATTAGAAATGAAGAGTTTAAAGCTTAAGAGAATAAAAAATGTAATAATAAACCCAATGATTTCTATAAAACATGGCCACAATCTCTAAACCACTGGATGCTGCTCTGTAACTCTTGATCACATGGACATACCAGCACAATATTTCAATTTCCCAGTTATTTTGCAAATCACAATTGGAAACAAATATATTACTAAACAAATGTTCTAGTACAAGGATTTTTTTCCCCCAATAAATTTATACATTGAAAAGATATGTATTTCACTGAATTTCTGGTGAATTTTAACTGTTATATTGAGGGAAAAATGTTTGGTTTGGATATGAAAATAGGTAAAAATATTCCAAGTAAAGCTTGCAGTAACTGTATTCAATGTGCAATGCAAATTCTTTCCCCACTGAACAATACACAGTAGCTGTCTTTGTTGGACATAGACATCACCACTGTAGAGTATTAATGCAGCAGTCTGATAAGGTCAGGAATTTGGAGACGCTTTTTAAAGGCAACATTTGCCTCAGGCAAAACGTTTCTTTAGTAAAAATCAAAATAGCAGCTAATTTAAGTGCCCAAAATATGATAGAGCTAAACAAGTTTTACTTGACTTTCCTATGACAATACAACATGTAGATTAAGTATGATACTAAATAGTTATGTAAATGTACACAAGAATCATGTGAACCGCACGGAATCCTAAGCAGAACCAATGCCAAGTGTTATCAGTTGGATCTGATCAGAATTTGCTATCAGTTTGCTGCTCTTTTCTCCACCTCTGACTCCGAATGCTTCGTTACAATAGCTCGGCTGCTTTGCCAAGGTTACATGACATACACTGTTGAGTACATAGAGTATTTCTGTTTACAGCACCTTCATTACGGTACTATGGTGATAGTGATTCTTAGGCACACTGATTGGTCACTGATTCTTTCCTCTGCTGATGTACCACAACATTTGGTTAGCACTGTTAGTAACACACAACTGAGTTTGTTTTCTCAGACAGAGGCAAAAATATGAAGGAATTATTCCAAGTGTCTCTGCAGCAGTTTTTGTCAACTGCTCTGCCCTGTAGGCTGCACTGTCTTTGGCGCTTGTAGATCAGACTTATGCTGCAGAGAAGGGAGAGAGTGATGTGGAAAAACCTAAGCCTTTCATCTGTAAAGAAATTAAGGCCACCTGACAAAAGAGCAAGGAGTCTGCTAATTACCAACAGGAGGGCAGTATTGAGGACTTCTTTTCTACTGGAAAGCCACATGGGAAGCCCACAGCTGCTAAAGCACTAGACCCTGCTTAGCCACTTGCCTTGCTGTCAGGTATTGTGCAAAATAAATTCTGCGGTCCTTGATTTTGTTCTGAAAACCACTATTAAAAAAAAAAAAAACCAAAAAAACAGCTTTTGCAGGAAAGAATCTTTAACTAGGAACACTGTGCACTGTTGCGGTAGGATCTGTGTAGCGTAGATCACCTGAGTATTTGTCATAAACTGACATGAGCTAAGGTTCTGCATCTGTCGATTTTTGGCAAGGAAAAAAATGCACTACAGTAAAACCCTACTAACGTCGATCCACGCCGTTAACCTCACCTGCGGGAGTTATTCCACCCTGGAATACTTCACCCCAAATGCACACAACTTCGCCATTCATACTAGCCTTTCACGGTAAGGCCTCGAGCTAGAGTCCTGAATATGGGAGCAGGAGGAAAGAATGCTTTAAATTAGCACATGACATTTAACTTGTTTTAGATATTCTTTCTCAGATACCAAATAGGAAGTAACTCCAAAAAACAGCACCAATTCATCTACTTGTCTGAAATGCAAAAATATAATTACGATGCAAGCAAACAGTCGAAAACAAAACAATACACCATCCTTTCATCTCCTTCTTAGGCTTAATAATTATCTTTCAGTGAAGAGCTACAACAAAACCAGAAGCTAGCGTAATAAGAATTAGAAAATAAGTGCATAAACAATATCAGTGCAGCAGCAAAATATACAGTCATGTTAACTTTCCAATTCAACCCATTTCCAACATGTTTGTGCAATACAAGTTGGCCATATACTGGCCAACACAACACGCTTCTTTTTTTAATATTAACTCAGCCATTCTTCACTTAAGCTATTTCTGCTTGTTTTTTAAAAAATAAAATGAATTAAATACAACTCTCTCAAAAAAAGACTGTATTTTATAAACACAAAATTATGGTGCAAACAAAGTAAGAAATAAATACCACACCCTTAATGACAAAAGGAATTCTGAACTGGTTCCTATGGCTGAACTTTCAGGATGAGAGGGTGGAATTTTTGTAACATACTTTGTTAAATACTGGCTTAAGTCTCTCAGGATTCCAGAGGCAAAGCCAAGCAGCTGGAAGGAACATTTTGTCGGGATGTTAAATTTCGCTACACTGTAATCGTGATAGCAAATTTTGGATACAATCAGAGGAACCATAAAAAGTCTTCTTGATAGGTTGGGCTCTGTGCTTTGTGTTCTTCTTCTCAACCTTCCCTCCAATGCCAGAAGAGTGGATTTGAATCCAGGCTTGTCAACGCAGCAACAAGGCGGGATTGTGTGCCGGCTCACTGGGAACAACCCGACCCCTTGTTGCATCAACTCCGCTCTGTTTGTATTTTCTCTTACGTTGCATATGAAGATTAGGGGTAGGGAGGAGGCTTGGAGAGACAGTTGAGAGGGGCACACTGAGAGCTGGAATGTGGCTGCTCTTCTGGAAGAGCATTAGGACTGAAAATTAAAAAGAAAAGAGAAAAGGGGCTTAAAAAAACAGAGCAAACGTTTCATATGTGCATGTAAACAGTACACTAAGGGAAATAAACTCCCAAAGGTGAGGAAACCTCATCTCTGCATCAGCATCCTCAAAGTACAGATAGGGAAAATCCTCAGTGCACAAGTGTTCAGTGACACCCAGACGTATACATGAAAAGCTGCAGCTATCCTGCTTCAGTTCATGTATATAACTGCTTTCTGCATGCCTTGATGAACAATGGAGAAATGAATGCACGTGCGAAATGAGAAAGTGAATTTAAAGGGCAAAGTACAAGTGCCATTTTTAATACTGAGTATTAAACATTTTACATATGCAACCAGTTAACTGTTCTAAATGAAGAAAAGTCACAGTTGGGCAATCAGGTTTCATCACTTTGTGAAAACATGATCTCTTACTGAATGCAATCTATTATTATGTCCACTGTCCACAGGACAATCATCCTCAGCAGGTAACATAAGCATTATACAGCTTATAATTCACCACTTCTAAATGTTCCTTTTTTTTCCCCCAATGTGCTCCTTGAATCCTCTTCAATTCTATAACATGATTTGATTGTTTTCCCATAAATGACTGCTCTAAAAACAGCATCGAGGCCTTAAACCTCTATAGCTCAGTTAGCTGTACTGCACTATGATGTGCAACGTAGGCCAAGCTTAAGTTCATCCCTGCTGTGATTCCTCAGCCATGGACTGCTCACTTTTACAAGGGTGAATGTCAGCTCATGGAGCTGATGTGGAGCTAATCTTTCGAGGAAAGCACGGGGCAAACCAAAATGCCAAAACAGAATGCAAATAAATCCAATTTTAAAACAACTGCAGTTGCTTAAATGTGTCTGGGAAGATTTTTTATTTTTTTAATGTCTCATATATATTACAATCTTGGAGTTTTTCCAGCCTCAGCAGTGTGTATATGGTGAAGCACATATGTTCCTGTCCTCCAGAAAACTGCTTTTTTCCATTTTCCATCCTTTAGAAAACATTCCTTTGCATATTATCTCTCTAGTACAGACTAGGAGGATGTTGAAAGGAAAGCAATTAGTCCACTGCTAAAAATGAATTGATTTGAAATGCCAGAGAGATTTGAAAATCTGCAATTGGAAACGGCAGAGGTACTGCAAACGCCTGTAGTTATACATATAGCATTTAAAATAAGGAAAACAAAGAAATGACATTGCATTTTTTGAGGAGAAAAACAACTGTCTACCATCAGTGTTAAGAAACCAGATTGGAATATCTTTTTTTTTTTTTTTTTTTTCAAATCAGAGGAGCTTAATAGATCATGATGACAAATAGACAGGCATTTATAACTCAACAGGGGTTAAGAGTCTTTGCATCACTGACTTATTTGAAGATCATGAACTTACATACTTTAAGTTAGACTCTGGTTCACATTTACGCTCCCAGAGAGTACATGGCCAACTGCAAAAGGCCTGGTCAGTGTGGATTGCAGGTGCTCTGCTCCTCTCAAGTTTGGCTTTATTCTCGGCTCTCTATATTGTTCCCAAAGTACTTACTGCTTTTTAGGACTATGACTCCTCAGTTTCAATATAGATTTAGAGCACTTACATATAGGTGTGAGACTAAGTCTAAGCACCTAGATACAAATATTTAACACAGAATATTTTCTTGAATTTTAGTAGCTGGACTGACAACCAAAAATCCCAAGAGAATATTGAACAAACCTGTCTTCTGTTGGCATTTCTTTGCATGGTGTAATCTTTCTTTTGTTCTGCTTCACTGAACAACATACAGATGCAGAAACAGCACCCAAAGGGGGATCTGAGTGAAATTTTTGCCTAACACACTCAAATGAGTGTGTCAAAAGTCATTGGAGAAGGACCCGAAGATCTCCATTTACTCTTAAAAATTTTCCACCCTTCAAGAGCCAACTTCAGGCTTCAGCACCTCTTAGGTTTTCAAGATAGGTTTAGGGCAAGCACTAAAGTCCTTAAGAGAAATAAAGTGAACTGCAACTTGAACGTGGCCTTTGAGGAGGATGAGCAAGGTGGTGCTTGTGTTATCCTACAAAGCCTGCCTTTTCTCCTCCTTGCTCGCCCACCTCTTCCTTCAAAGACTTCTGTGATTATCAAAAAGGAATGGAAAACGCAACATACATCTTTCATTTGCCTTCCAGGGCTTCCATCCCGACTTCAAAAATAAAAAACACAAAATGTTCATGCTTCAGGTGAGAGGACTGGTCAGGAAATCGCCATCATTAGGACTAATTATGTGCAGGAATGGCCTGAAACAGGGCTTCTTTGAAAGGTAAAATTCACCTGTATATATTTATGCCTACTCATATTAATGTCTCGGCTTCACCTTCAATATAAAATCAGTGCTGACTGAAGATACTGTAAGACAAACTGTTCCACAATATGCTGAGATTAGGAAACACTCTGCTTATCATCCCATTCATTTTCTCAGTAATTCTGCACTGCTTCTCATTTTGAAATACAAGCACATTTCTACAGGACAGAATAAATATAAAATTTGGTCTCACCGTTCCCTTTTCAACCAATAATAAAGATCAGGGGCATTAGGAAGACAAAAAAAAAATCACAAGGTTATCGGTACAGGCACTTTTGCAGCAATATATATATATATATATATATAAAAATATACGCTTCATGGAGTACTTATGCTAACACTCCATTGTTAAACCATCCTCTCACCAGGAAAACAATATATCCAGTTCAGTAAGAGAGAGTGCTACAGCAGCGTAAGAGCAGAAAATGGGTCATCCATTAGGCAGAATGAGCAAGTGACACGCAGCAAGCAGCACGAGTGCGTGTTATGGTGAGGTGGGAGCAGGTCCTGGAGCTCAGCTATGGGGCACACACCAAAGGCTGCAGGTCGTAGGGGATGGCAGGTGGAGTAAGAACACGAAACAAGGAAAGGTAGGGAGGAACCTGCAACTGCTGGCTATTAACTGGGAATGAATGAGAATAATATTACCTTCCACACATAGAACGTGTGCTGCTCTTAAAGCACTTCCTTTAACAAACATTTTTGCAAACCTTTGTTTAATGGCTGGTAGCATTTGGGAATCTGGTCATTCAGTTGATGAAGTGTCATTTTTTTGTTAGTTATTGTCTGTTTTCCAAGCAGTTTTCCCTCTCAGCATTCAAAATGCAAACACATATTTTTAAAATCATTTTGACAGAATCATGCAAAGTACACAGGTGTTAGTAAGTGGGCTTTTCTCTCTCAAAAGTGCCATTCACATGCAGTATTTTCTAGTATAGATTGTAGCCATAACAAGTCAGGGTAGGGAAAAATAAACAAATTAGTGATACTTTCAGAATGGAACCACTTTGGATGCAGTAATATTTTACCTTATTTGTAGTTTATTTCCTTTTTATATGAAACGAAGGTATTATTTCTTATAAAATGATGGACATTCATTTTATCTACACTATTTGTATTTCTTATAGTTAACTTGCTACTATCTTTTGACTTCTGATAATTAACAGCAGGTTTTCACTAAATTCAATAGAGCCTGAATATGGTCCAAAGACATAGCCTTTTAAATTTGGGATCATGGTTAATATTTTAATCTTGTTCAATGTAGTATATCAGACAGGAAACTATGGGTGATGGCAGGGCAAGTGGAACATGATGACACCACCCAGCAGTCTTCTGGATACGCCTACGTTTGGTTGCTTGCCACATGATCTTGGAACAAGAAATGGATGTGATGCATGGGAGGCACAGTGAGATTTTCATGCAGTGTTTAATCAGCTTATTTAGAAAAGCTTTTGTCTTCAGAATAGCTATCTAGAATCTCCAGATCAAATTCTAAAATAATTATTCAGACACAAGTGAAAAGACTGAAGTAAGTTGATGTTCCTCTAGCACCAGCATTGAGATCTGATTTGGCCTGAATCTGTTCCTAGCTTATCCAGTGTGACTCACCAAAACTTATAGACAGGAATCACTGCATTTTCACAAAGACTGGTTAACTCACAGAGATAGACACGTCCCATTTAAAACTGAGTATAGATAAAGAATTAGGAAAAACTCTCCATATGTGAGAGAGACATATATATTCAGAGGTCACATTACTGCAAGAGTGATAATAGGGACTTAAAAAATAAATGTATCTCTCTCTTAAAATGGGTGACTTCAGGGCTTGGCAGTTTTAATTTGTCTTATTTGGCCTCATCGCACAACTGAGAAAGTGTGTATTACACTTTCAGGGATGATTAGAAGAGCCAGAAGGGCATTACAGTCTCCCGCCTTCTTCCTACTCTGAGATTTGGTAAATCTAAACCTCAGTAAATCTAAGTGCTTCTTTAACAGCCTTTAGATTTTACTTCAGATTTCATTGAAAGCACTCACAAACTCACGCCACCATGCTGACTTCTGTAACATCTGCTGCTGTGCTTCACTGCTTTAGGAGGCTGCACAGCTATGGGGCTGAGACAAGCAAGGTGTCATAGGTAATTCATCAAAAAGCAGCGGCTGTTTTCGCTTAACCAGAGGAGTATCAATCTAGTGATAAAACCGATCGCCATTTAAAGGCAAACAGTTAAACTAAGCCTATGGTACATATCGTGTGTAGGATAAGTGATCTGCATTTCTAAAGTATTGAACCATACATTTAATTATGATTACTATTTTCTACGCCATTCTTTTTGGTTTGGAAATGTGGCAAGAAAAGCTTCTTGACCACGGCTCTCTTGTCCCTGAATTCTTGATAGTGACATTGAAGATATATTGAATCTTCATACACTCAAAGCACCTATCTAATGCTATTACCAATATCAAACATTGCTGCATCTAAAATACAGCAGAAAACACATTAAAGGGATTTTAAATGGAACTAGTAATTTCTTTCATTGTGCTACAATACTCCAAACTGGTAAGCGGTACTTACTGTTTTCAAGGAACTTTCACAATGTTTTTATTACAAATATTATTGAATATTCATAATGCCTGCATGTAGTAAATAATTTAATGATACTTCCACACACAGGCAATAAAAGAGAGGCATACATTAAGGTGCTGTCTCAAGGTGACTGAGGGGCTACCTATGACCTAGCAGAATTTGTGCCCAGCAGTGTGTGACCAAAAGCAATACCACAGTCACTACCCAACCTGCTTCTTGCAGACTCATATAAACCACAGGTTTATTCCTGGAGAGAGGGGGGAGTTTTTTGGGTTTTAAAGGGCTTTAGATAACCTTGACCTATATATATCAAGCTAAAAACAACACAAGTTATTTCAAACGAGAAGGTATGCTCGTAGATCAATACATGTGCAGTGTAGAGAACTGATTAAAAATAAGTTTTGTGAAGTATTGTTGTTTTTCTGTCTTTTCTTTCTTTTTTTTTTTCCCTTCCACTGTGATTTATTCAACTGTCTCAGAAGCACAATTTGGCCTTTGCACTGCCCAGGAGCAAGGACTTCAGTAGTTTACTATTAACAAGACTAAGAGTCCACTGCAGTAGGAGAGAGCTCCCTGCGCCAGGAGAGCAACCTGCCTGCTAAAATCTCACCAGTGCCTTTAAACCAGTATCTTACAAAATGAGAACCTGCAGCTAAATCCAAAGCGCCTCTACTTAGTAAATTTATCTAGCATGAAAATAAAATCACTACTATTTTGGTATCACTGAGAAATGACTGAATACAAAAAAAAACATAAGAATTGCAAGATTCTATTTTGCATTCATGTATTTTTACATGTTTGTAGGTGCCTGAATTTTGTGATTCATGTTTATACTGTCACTGCAGAAATTACCACTGCTCCTCAAGTTGTTAAAAGTTGTCCAGTAGTGAAGACTTGCACAGACGGGAAGGGCTTTTCTACAAGGCAGGCAAGAGGAGTTGCAGGCTCGCTAGAACATGCAGCTATGTGCAAAGAGAAGAAGAGTTAGTTGAGTTTACCTGACAGTCTGGCAATCTGGCCCCCTGGCTAGTTGTGAGCCGTGTGGCGGTATGGAGGCAGCAGGCTGCTGACAATCTACAAGAAACTGATAAATTAGACATATATACAGAGAGATTACAGAGCAAGGGGTTAGTAACAGTAGAACACAGGCTATGCATCTGATGGAGAGATTTAGTGAGGAATGTTTGCTTGGTTCCTTATCTGACAGAAATACCTTTTTTTTTTTTTTCCCTCCTGATAATAACAACAATAGCTGTTGGCTTCTTTTTCTCTGCAAATAGCAGCAAAATCATTCTTGTCTTTCCTGAAGGCTGGCAAATGTTTTGATTAAACTGACAACAATAACAGATCATATTCAGAATCTGGCTTCAACCTTTATATCCATCATTCTTCTGCAAATGGGGAATACAACTGTTTGCATTATACCTAATATAAAAAGTGTCAACAAAGCTACTCCAAATTTATTCAGGGATCTTATAATTACAGATGTCATCTCATAATCCTTGGGGAAAAGTTTGCAAGAAGTTTACATCTTCTAAACAGTGCACATGAGATTATTTTGTATAGAAAAAAGACAGGGACTGATGCAGTTGGTTTTCACTGTTTTGTCTAGACTATTTTATCAGTTCTCTGCCACAGTAGTTTTCACACAGAGCACTTGCAAAGCTATATTGAAGTCCTTAATTTAACAGAAGTAAAGCAAATGAATCCTTTGTTGCTGTGTTTTTACCATGATATTTCAAATATATTTTTTAAAAAAAGTTTTAAACTCTACATTATTTGAGGAACTTGAGAAAAATATTTGAATGAGACACAACTCTGACTCCTAACTCACTAGTTCTAGCCATATTTCCAGATCTCAACATTTGCCTGACTTCCCCCACCTCAGTCCAGTCCTCCACGATAGAAATTACATGCACTTCCAATGGCCTGCAAGACTCAGCCTGTCAGAAAGCACAGTCGTCAGGAGCCTTTAATGTCTATTAAAGCTTATAGATGAAAATCTAACTAGCTGGAAATCACGTGGACATCAGTTTTGGGCTCCAGCAGCGTTTGCAGAGCTGGTGACCTCTCTGACTGCTGTGGCTTGACTTTCAATCTAACTCTTCAGGGGAAGGAACTTACTGTTCTTAAAACTGAACTGACTAGACCTGACCAACCAGGAAGGTAATAGGTTGTTCTGTTTTTTTTTAATTGGCTGCTACTTGAAGTTCACCGCCAGTGACCACCACCTTTTCTCTTTCAAGTACATCAGCCTTCCAAAACTCACTTTTCTTCTTTGCATAACTCAGCTGAAGAGGCTGGTAGCAATGCTCATAAAGGTTTTTGAGATAACATAAGGTGCAACACAGAGCAAAAGACCTTCATAGTGACACTGAGCCAGGCCTAGAGTGCTACTTCCCAGGAAGATCTATGCTGACCTCCTGTGGGTGGAAGCAAGTGCACCCAAATCACTCCCTACTTTCTGCCTCAGCTGGTATGTGATGATTTTGGACCCCTTTCCAAGTGCATAGTTATTTACATTATAAAAAAAATACAGGCACAATTTCAGCTTATGCCATTGTGGCAGGAGGCAGAAATGGAATAAGGAAGGACACTGCCATTCTTACATATCTTACGATGCTCACTCTTGGTCTTCTAGCAGAGAAATACCACAGTTTGCAATGTTCCTAGGCCACAAATAGAGAGGTCTATCACTTTAGATAAATGTTCATTAAAAGCAAAGGTGTCTGATAGGGACTGAGCCAGCTAACTGCGGAAAGGAACTTAAAAGTTATTTTTTTTCTTTTTAGTTTCCTATTCTAAATTCTAAATTAACTACCTTGTAGTAATTCAAAGCAAAGTTGTCCCTCACGAAGTATAGAAAGCAGTCAGTGAGAAAAGGAAGACAGAAGATGGGTGATGAAGCGGGGTGGACAGGTTTCATAAATGTAGAGGAAATTGTTCTGACAGCCTTTGCCAGAAACAATGCAAAGGCCTGATTTATGATCCTATTCTAATATCTCAGCCATCCTGCAAACATTCTATGATAGGTCTTCATCTGCCAGATTTATCAGAACGCATGAATAGGGAAGCAGACCCTGCAAACATTATGCAACCTGAATAATTACTATTCGATGTGAGCAAATTCCCTGTACTTCACATGAAACAGCTCTACTTAGCATTAGGAATACTAACAATTTGGCTCACAGTGAGTTACATAAGTATGAAATTTAATGATCTACATGGCTTTAAATAGCTGAATTTTTCTCCTACATCCTCCAGGAGTGAAGTCTGAGGATTATGCTAGGAAGAGCTAAGCACAACACACATGGCTTAAACATATACATTACAAATTCAAAGAGACTCAGAAGCTCAGTTCTACTCATATTCAGGCAGACGTGCTAGAACTAAATTTATTCCTTTTATATTTAATCCTTTCAAAGTTTGGAGGATTTGTTCCTATCTTCTCTAATGACATGACAGTCATAAAATGATTTCTTGTTGTATTTTATTTAAAGGTGAAAACTGCATTTGGTCCTCTTGTTCTGCTAAGGAGCCCTTGCTTCTATCAAGTAAATGACGGTTTCTATCTGAAATGTTCTGCTAAAGGTCAAGAGTTTCAAAGATGTCTTTTCTGAGTCTGTGATCAATGTCATATAGTATGAAGAAGAAAAGACACATTCTCTTGTACTAGAAGAAAAAGAAAAGAAAACGATTACATTGGAACAGGCCTGTTGCCATTATTTTTCAATTGAGGGAGTGCCAGTCAAGCTATGAGTGAAAGGACAGTTTGTCATCTGTGTAGAAGACATCCGGGGAGCAAATGCAGACTGTAATTTCTTGAAAGTCTGCAGAGATGAACATCAACAAAATAGTCAATTAAGTTTTTAAGAAGAGACTATCTCTTTTCTCTCATCTCCAGCTGCTGTGAGGAAATAAACGACCACAAGGCAGGGGATGGTGCAACAGATCTCATAAAGAAGCCTTTTATGATTCTGTGAACCTATGAGAGAGACAAGAAATTCCATGACTATTGCAACCACAAAGGTCAAGAGGAGCCATTCTGTACAGAAGTGCCATATCCCAGGCTTCACTGAATTCAGTAGGACTTGAAACTGGGCCGAGTCAGGCAGCAGAGGCCTACGAAAACTCTCAGCGTACCATCTCTTGGGACCTAACTCTCACTATTCAGCCTGCTCATATTATTTATTCAGTTCTTTCCAATTCACCATTTAGCTAGTTAGAGACACGTAAAGGGCTCAGAGATTCCCTCTCTCATAGATTAGCCCATGCTGATTTTGCTTAGGTATTTTGTGCCCTGTCCTAATTCAGTTAATCAGCTCCTAGTGTAAGACCATTAAAAATACCAGACTCATTATTGAAGTCATATGAGGACTGAATGCACTACTACAGTTTTTCCTGTTCCTCCCTTTGGCTCAGCCCCCAGAACAAGGCACTTTCCTCATGTCACAAGGTGTGCTCTGCCCTCCAGTCTAGGAACTGGGCGACTCCGGTCAACATGGCCTTGCTGGTGTTGGAGAGATGAGCGTGCCTGCTGTTGGCATCAGCAATGTCCCCGGTGAAAATCCTACGTACAAGCATTTTTAGTCCCACCTGCTCGACCCAGCATAATACACTGGAACCTTTCAGTATGCCTTGGCACTTACACTCCTGTCGAAGTCCAAGAGTAGTATGGAGGCCAAGGCAAAGCAGAGGGGATGCTGTAGGTGAACAACTGGTATTTAACACACTTCTAACTCTGTCTAGTTACACTCAGTACAGAGCATTTTCTCTTTTTTATATGAAATGGTAAAATTGTCAAACAACACGCTAAACATGATTTTTAGAAGGATTTTTATATATTTGATATTGTTGATGATAAATATTGAAAATTGGTTATTGAACCAATTATTTTATGTTATTTTCTTAAAAAAAGTCTCAATAAATGCTTATAAAAAAAAGGGGGCAAGATTAAGGTTTTTTTCAAGTCTATTAAATGAAACTTTCCTCCATAACCAACTGAGCAGTCCAGGCTGACAGAAAGGCCTCTGTCCTAGCTATAAGTTCTAGAGTATCTACAGCAATGACATTTTGTGTCACGCTATCTAGTGTCAACTGAATTTGCCAAATAAAGTTTAGAAAACTTGATAAGGTTACTCAAAAGAGTAACTATTCATGGTAATGAAATGCTTTTTTCCTCGAGATGACAAGGCCAAAAACAACAAACGTTTAATGGGAAAGAATGAATGGCTAATAAGATGATTCAAAAGTACTGGGCAAAAACCAAATCAGTAGTCTTCTGGTTGTGAAGAAGCATGTGGAATCACACTCTGCAAGTCCTATAAAGACAATTAATCGATCAAATTCTCTCTACTAGAACATCAGAAAATGAAGAAAGCTTTTAAACTCAAACATGATATGTCAAGAACAGCAGGGCAGGTGACACTAAAATACTTGCCCATTCTGCTGAAATGAGAGAATTTTTTTAGACATGCCTTTAAATTGTACTTCTCCCTCTCTTTTGTATGAAAAGCTTCACTTCTAACTGGACCACCTTCTTTGCACTGTTCTCATAAAACCTTGCCCATAGAAACACTGTGAATGATCTACCTCCACAGAAATTACTAGTGTCACCCTCATTTCCCCTTTCAAATCTGTGTCAATAAGTCATTTTTATGTCCCATTTTTATGCCCCCACCAACTTTTCTCCCTTTTTAACCTACTGCCCTGCAATGGAGCAAGAGACTAATTTTGCTTTATTTTAGTTGACTTGATTTGTGCATTTCTTTTTATACCTGAATAGTCCTCAACCTAAAGGGCTGTCTCCCTCATCAGTCCCTGTGCTTCAGTGATAATGTGACTGATAGTTCCAAGTATTGCAACAATGCTATATGTCAACCTTGTCCTTTGCTGTAAGGATTAAAAAAAAATATCCTAGTCATTAATAAAATCAGTGAAATACATTTTTATTCCATTATGGACTAGAAAATAAAGTGACTTCTCACCAGCTCTGTAGGCTTTTTCACACTTTTTATGTCATGATGCATTTATGTTATTTTCTCAAATGGTTTCTGTGAATGCTTTAAATAATTCC